AAAGGGCCAGTGGTGAGGCGTCTGTCTGTCGGTCCGTCCTCGCCGCAGCATCTATGAGCTCGTGTTGATGAGGGGTGAGCACCTGTGGGGTGGGATGCTAAGATTGCAGAGTGGTCCTGGTTCTGGGTCCTGGGCCTGACACTTCTCCCAGCCAGATGATCACAGCCATAGTGCCCCATGCCCTTGAGCCTTGGTTTTCCCTGTGAGCTGGCTTGCTGCTGCTTCTTTCCTCCAGGGCTGTTGTGAGGAGGCTGGGGAGCACGGGGGCATCAGCTCTCATCACTACCGTGGCTGGCGGATGGCGCTGGGGGCTTGCTAAGGTGAGGTGGAGTGTGGTGGGGGCTTCAGATGGGGATGGGGTCTGAAGAGGGGAGGTTAAGGGAGAGGGTGCCTGGGGCAGGTGTTAGGAGCAGAGGAGCACTGAGGCAGGACTAGGATCCTGAGGGTGGTGGGCCAGGGATGAGATGGGAGAGGTTCAGGGCCTTAGCTCTGGCTGCCAGTCATAGCCACCCTTGTGAGGTAAACTAGTGGGACAGAGGCCTCCTGGTCACCACGAGAGGCCAGGGGCTGCTCTGGTTGGGGTGCGGACAGGGGGAGAGGGGATCAGGATCCCAGGGAGGAACTGGGACTTTAGGGTTTATGCCACACCCCACACCCAAAGCTGACTCTCTTTCCCAATGCACTAGTCAGGGCCTGGAGGACAGAGTGCTTGGGTCATATGGGGCCACCCCCTCCTTGGCCCCTCTCCTCATCTATAAATGGGGATGGTGACAGAAGCCATCTCCAGTAGGCCAGTCCTTGCAGGGCAGGGCCCCAGAGCTGGTTGGATGCAGATTCCCAGGCTTCCTCCCAGGTGCCCTGATGTGGGGTCCAAGGCCCAAAGAGGCAACCTGTCGCACCAGGTTGAGCTGGGCTGAGGGCACCAGGGCCTTTCACCCTCCACTGGCTGCTGCCTCCCTGGCCTGGTGCACACAGCAGGTGCTCATCATGTTACCAAGACCCCAAAGGTCTGTTTGCTCGCTGCTCGGTAGCCAACAATTGAGAGAAAAAAGCTGGTGTAAGGAAAGGTGGCCTTTACTGAGGAAGCCGGCAGCCTGAGGAACGGTGGACTCATGTCTCAAACACCATCTCTGCCTCTCCCAGGCTTGTCAAAGGGTTTTGTAGGGATCTGGGGTGGAAAGCTGATTCATGGCGACCAAGCGGGGACGTGCCGACGTGCTTGAGTGTTTCACTAATCATCAAGGAACTTCCCGGGTGAGAGCTGACCCGTGTCACACTTCGTTCTCCACAGGCTCAGTTCCTGTCATTCTCAACTAAGGTCAGGTTGGTAAGCTAGTGAAGAGTGGCCATATGGATTAACAATTTTTCTCTAACTGTTTGTGTGCAATGTGAGAGCAAGAGTCATTGTGTTCCTGGAATTAGCTGCAGGCTCTGTGGTTTGGGTTACAGGTGAGAAAAAGCTTTTAAACTCAAAGGTTTGATGAAGCAAAGTCCCTTCTGTCCAGGCTGTTACAATCAGATGCATGTGGAGCCATGGAAACAGACACGCAATCTGGCAGGGTGGGCTGCGGGGACGGATGCAGGGCCCTAGGACCTACAGTCAGGTGCAGGGGTCAGGCGTGTGGTGCGGGGTGTAAAGTCCCCTTGGGCCTGAGTAGCCTCCAGCAGCAGGGTCCACGCCGAGGAGTGAGGGAGCAGCTCTGCACCCATCAGGGGCTCGGTGCCTCAGCGTGAGCCGGTCGGTGGTGCGTCTTCAAGGCCCGTTGGAAACGGCATTCTCTAATGCAGACTAATGATGGGGCCTCCCGGAGGAGCCAAGCTGCCGGGCAGAAGGAACTAGGTGATTAAGGGTAATTTGGGCCCGAGAGAAGTGATTGATGTGGAGAAACAGAGCCAGCAATGCAGGCCGCTGCCAACCCGGCTCCTTTGGCTGGCTCCGTGGGTAGAGTGGCTTGGAGGGGGGCTGTGAGTCACCCTGTCACACCCCACCCACATGCCCCAGGAGCTCGGAATAAGACTCTGTCCCCTCCTTCCTATCCCTGTTGGCCTCACCTGGGCTGCAGCCAGTGACTGACTGCCTCAGGAGGAAAGGGAAGGGGAATAAGTCCTGGCCTCCCACCCTTCCAGGGCACCCCTGAAGGGCCATCCCTGCTTCTGTGCTCCCAGGGGTCGGCTGAGGCCTATTCAGGTGACATTGCAGCCTTGCTCGGGCCCTTCCCTCCACAGGTGTGGCCAAAGGCACTGCCTGGTCAGCGTCCAACCCCTGCCTCCAAGGCTGCCTCCTGGGGCTCTTGGGCAGCAGACCCTGAGTCTGTGACCCAAGCTTCCCGGGGTCGCTGAGTGGGTGGCCCCTCTGGCCGTGCCGTTCTGCAGCTGAGACTCCCCGCAGTGGGCTCCGCCATGCTTGCTCTGCTGCTGGGCACGGCTGCAGGAAGGAGGAGCATCCTGCATGCTGACTGACCCTCATGCTCCTGTCCCCACAGGCTCCAGGCACTCCATCCCCTGTGGCAGCCCAGCCCAGGTGTGTGGGATGGAGCGAGCAGGAGAGGCGAAGTCCCTGTGCCTCTGTGGGCCCCTGGAAGCCAACCCTGAGATAAGGATTTGAGTGCTGGTGATATATTTCAGAAGTAAAGGAAACACCAGCAGGAGAGTGTGAAGATGATGGAAGATGGGATGGGACGCAGGCTGAGAGGATCCGCCCAAGCCAGTCACCACCATGGCACCTGCAGCCGAGGCCCGCTCGGCTCGAGTCCCTTCCCAGAGACTGGGAAGGTGAGTACAGCCCGCAGCTCAGAGAGCCCCCAGGGCAAGGAGCTGGGCGTCTGTGCCCGAGTCCTGCCAACCATGGCTGGAGGCACACTGCTAGGATAGGTTCCAGAAGCAAGAGCGCCCCCAGGCCGAGAGCTGCAGGTGGAGTTGGCCGGCGCTCCCCCACCCCTCAGGGCCCACCTAATGCAGTGGGTGTGTCTCCTCCCAAGGCTGTGTGTGCAAGATGTAACGTCTTTCCCTTTCTGTAACTGAGCTGGTGTCAGTCTGGAGCCCCCTCACGCTGGGCGGTGGATGTGAGTCCCAGGCAACTCGAGGAGCCCACTCCAGGCTTGCCTCGTTGGAGGACTCGGGGTGGCTTGTGCTGTCCCCAGTTTTGTTAAGGACTTTGAGATGGGAGATTATTCTGGATTATCTGGGTGGGCCCCGTGTCATCACAGGGGTCCTTATAAGTGGGAGGTAGGAGGATCAGGGTCAGAGAAGCAGACGCAATGACAGAGCAGAGAGAGAAGGTGGAAGGTGCTGCTGGCTTTGAAGACGGAGGAGCAGCCCCGAGCCATGGGACGCAGGTGCCTCCAGAAGGACCAGCCCTGCCGACCCTTCATCTACCCTGATCTCAAGAGAGCTCCATGTGGGAATATGTTTGTGTTGTTTTAAGCCACAAGGTTTGTGGTAACGTGTTAAGGCAGCAATAGGAGACAAATATACCAGATCCGGCTTTTCAGACTCAGCAGCCAAGCATGTGACTCTGATTTCGGGCTTCTGCAGTCTTGCCTCACACAAATATGTTTGTGTTGTTTTAAGCCACAAGGTTTGTGGTAACGTGTTAAGGCAGCAATAGGAGACAAATGTACCAGATCTGGCTTTTCAGACTCAGCAGCCAAGCATGTGACTCTGATTTCGGGCTTCTGCAGTCTTGCCTCTTCCTGTGGGTGGGAACATCTGTGCCATGGCCACCCCAGTGCCAGGGCCAGGGCAGGGGCCACTGGGTACAGGGAATATGTGAGAAAAAACAGTTAAGCAACCGAAGTGTCACCCCCGCACCTAGAAAGTCCTCGTCCTGTTGCACAGTCACCTGCCTCCTCATGCCCCCGTGCGTCCTTACCCAATCCTCCAGAATGAGGCCATAAAGCCCAGATGTAAATCTGGACCAGTCTGAGCCACTTCATCTCCTCACATCCCTGCCCCCTTATGTGTAAAGAACTCAGAGGACACAGTCGTGGGCATCTTTTTCTTCAAGGTCCAAGGTCCTCTGATGTACAGACCTCAAATCTTTTGCAAGGCAAGCATTCCTTCAATCCCCACAAGGCTGGCCTGCGGGGCTGCCAGGATCCCCACTTTGCAGATGAGGGACCCAGGCCCAGCTGGTTGGTGGCAGATCCAGGATTTGTACATGAGCAGCCTGACTGCAGAGGCCTTGCTGTCCCGTGACTCCACCTGCAGCCGCCACTGTGCAGACAGCATCAGTGGGGGTCCCTTCAAGCAGGGAGAGCCCCCTGAACAGGCTCCCACTTCCCAGAGGCCCCAGCTCAGGGCTTGGCAGATGGGTGGACACCTCTGAGCCTCTCAGGGAGGTTTATTTTTTGCTTAGGAGCCCCACCAGGGCCAGAGCCCCTCTGGCCCCCAAAGCGGCACACCATAGGTCATTTATTCCTATTGAACGGAAGGGCTGCTCCTGGATCTGACCGGTACCTCCCTGCTCTCCTGTGGGCCTCTTTGCTCTGCTCCACCCCTCCAAGCTCAAGGCTGAGGCTGTCCACTGTCTCACAAGCATTCCGTGGATGCTCAGCTGCAAAGCCATAGTGGGAGCAGATCCAGCGTGGTGGGGTGGGCTTGCGCCCAGCTCGTTGCCAGTGAGCTTTGGACCTGAGCAGGGCCACCCCTCTGGCCTCTATTCTCCCATCTGTTGGAGGAGGAGAGTTTCTGCAGCCCTGGGCCTTTTCCAGCCCCACATCCTAAGTGCCACGGCACTGGCTACCCTTGAACTTGTCAGAAGGTGTCATTGTAGGTGTTGCGACATTCCCACCTGAGTTTACCTGCGGGGACCATCCAGGTGGGCTCCCAGTGCATTGGGATTCCAGAAAGCTGGCAGCAAGGACTCCTTGGAGCAGCAGAGCAGGAGGTGGGGAGTGGGTCAGGCTGTCTGGTCAGTGTCAGAGACACTCCCGGAAGAAGGAGGCTCATCCCATGCCCTGAGTTCAGCTTCAGGACCTTTCAAATTATCCACAGCTCATGGTTTCCACCAATTCATGGGCCGAGTGTGCCTGCTAAGCACATGAAATGTGGCTTGTGTGACCAAGGAGCTGAATTTGTAAATTTTACTTTATTTTAAATAATTTAAACTTAATTTAAAGAAACTGGTACTCCATCCAGTTATTGGAAAACTTCGGCAAACCACAGTTGCTTGGAACATATGTGATTTATTTTTTGACTTGTACAGTTTACGAAATCTAAATACAGATCAAGTATTTCCAATGCAAATTTAGTGTCTGAATCAAGAGCTGCTGGAACTGTGAAATACACCCAGATTTCAGAGTCTTAGCAGGAAAAAGGTAATAATTTCTCATACTGATTATGTGTTGAAGTGTTAATATTTCAGATGTATTAGGTTAAATTAAGTACATCATTAAAACCAGCATCACCTGTTTCTTTTTACTTGGTGTGGCTTGTATCACATTCCAAGAGGAGAGCACTGAGCTGGTAGTGGTGTGGGTGCGGTAGCAAACTCGTCTAGAAAGGGCTGGGGTCTACCTTTCTGTTTTGGGGGGCCATGTGTTCTCTGGGGCAATGACTTAACTCTGCTGTGTGCCAAGAAAGCAGTCAGAGACAATGAGGAAACAGGCCGTGGCTGTGTGTGGGGAAGTTGGCACAGTGTGCTGACCCCTGCGGGGAGGGGATGGATGGAGCAGGGTGCCACTGGTTGGTGATTGCAGGAGCTGGTGACTGCTCTCTACTCATATGTGTGGGAGACCCTCCATGGAGGAGCGATAGCAGGTGTGGAGATGGGGAGGGGAGGGTGGCTCTCAGCTGACCGCAGGCAGCTGGCCCTCCCCTGCCAGCACCAGATGGTGGTCTGCCAAAGGGCATCTCAGGAGCAGTTCATCTGTGGGTTTGGAACATGTGCTCCAGGAATTTTCTTAACAGTTTCCCCCAGGGCTTGGATGAACCCACTTGATTCCTTTGTGTTCTGTTGTCCTGGCAAACACTGCCCACACTGGAGATGCACTGCTGTGGGCTGCTGCAGAGACCCCTGAAGGAAGGCTGGCCCAGCATGTGGTGCTCTGAGATCCTGGGATCATGAAGCCTCCTTGGAGCGTGACGCCTTTTGACAAGTGAGCACAGGGAGATCATGGACACAAGGTGTCAAGGTCTATGGCCTGCAGAATCCCTCACTCAGCTCTGCATCTCCAACCTGCTCAGTAAACTGGTGATAATGGGTCATGAAGCCTCCTTGGAGCGTGACGCCTTTTGACAAGTGAGCACAGGGAGATCATGGACACAAGGTGTCAAGGTCTATCGCCTGCAGAATCCCTCACTCAGCTCTGCATCTCCAACCTGCTCAGTAAACTGGTGATAATGGTCCCTGCGACTGCTGGGTTGGTCAAGAGCCCCAGGGTTGTCCCCAGAATGCATGGGCCTGACTAAGAGCAGACGAGGCTGCCTCAAAGAGCTGCAGAGGACAGTGTGGGCTCGCGGGTGACGAATCGGCTCAGGAATCCCAGTTGAGGACGTGCCTCTCACATCATCACAAATGCACCTTGCCTCAGGACTGGCACGGGGCTGGTCCCAATGGGTAGGGTGTCCCTGGCTGGTTTAATGAGCCATACTGGGTGCCCACTCCCCGCAGCAGATAGGATGCACCCGCGTCCTGACAACACCACGAAGTCATCAGACCTCCCACCCCTGCGTGAGGCTGTAAGAAAGCACCACAAACTGGGAGCTTAAAATGACAGAAATTTGGGGCCGGCCCGGTGGCGCACTGGAGAGTGCGTGGCTTGGGAGTGCGGCGGCGCTCCCGCTGAGGGTTTGGATCCCATGTGGAGACCGGTTCCCACTCACTGGCTGAGCGAGGTGCGGGCGCAACACCGAAGGTTGCGATCCCGTTGCCGGTCCCCGGTGCGGGCGCAACACCGAGGGTTGCGATCCCGTTACTGGTTAGTAAAAAAGACAAAAAAAAAAAGACAGAAATTTGTTATTTCATGGTTCAGGAAGCCCAAAGTCTGAAATCAAGGTGTTGGCAGCGTCGGTCCCTTCTGGGGGTCTGGGGGAGAGACTGTCCCCTGCTTCTCTCCACACTTCTGGTGATGGCCACAGTCTTTGGTGTCCCCGGGCTCGTGGATGCTTTGCTGCATTCCATCTCTGTCTTCACATTGCTTCCCTGTGTGTCTGTGTCCTCTTTTCTTCCTGTAAGGGCACCTGTCATCAGATTTAGGGGCCACCCTAATCGAGGATCATCTCATCTCGAGATCCTTAATTTTACGTCTGCAAAGATTCTTTTTCCAAATAAGGTCCCATTCACAGGTACTGGGAGTTGAAACTTGGTTGCATCATTTTAGGGGACACCATTCGACACACAATGCTATGGGAATCATGAGGAGGGACCGTGTCGATTAGTGCATGGGCCCAGGGCCAGCCACCTGGTAGGTACTCAGTAGATCGTTGCCAAATGAATTACCTTAAGGAAA